TGACCGTTTTTTTAAGGGACAATTTCAATTGCAGTGTGGGATTGGCGCAATGGCGCGGTCTGGCTCAAACCCTGCTAGAGGGGAGAATTATGGATCAGATCTTGGGACTAAAAGGGTTAAAGGGTTAATGTGTATATTAATTTTGTAGTGTTAAATGTCAACTCAAAACCAATCAAATCCAAATAAACAAAATAATTGTTTACTCACAATAATTCCTTTGTGATACCACCAAGTCTAGAGAAAAAAATATATATTTACATCCATTAATTAATATGAACAAAAAAACACTGCTTAATTTCACTGCAAAGATAATTTGAACATTTAGTTTCTTGCAGTTCTCCACACCCAAAAAAGATATAAATTCTTGCATATAGTTAAAAATAATTTTATAATTAAAATTAGTGACAAGGTTAAATCATCAGATCAAGACTGAGGTGAAGTACTTACAATAATGCCTCCAATCACACTACTAACTGTAAAACAAGAAAAGGAAATACGTGTTATTATTTTAATAAGCTGATAAAAACTTCTAGTTTTGTGTGTTCATAGCTCAAATTTTATTTGCTGCATGATGGTTATGATATGATAAAATACATAGGAATTGTAATTGTAGATATCATCAAAAACACTCACAGTAATTTGTTTATGATTCAGGGACTGTAACTACTTATTCTGCTTACTGAAAAACAATGATTTATGTGTTTATAAGCAAAGAGAATCTCAGGTAATACAGTAAATCGCAAAATAGATGCATATCCTGTGGTTCATACACCCCCCCTCCCTATTTTTCACCGCAATGAGGAGATGCCAGAGAAAATCCTTCAGTAGAGTTTTGTTAATGATGTTGTTTGCTCATTTGCATATTTTACTTGAATTTTCAACTGTTTTCCAGCTTGAAACTGTGATGAGACATACATCAGTTGTATCAGTCATTTGCACCCACATTTACAGCAGCCTCATAAAAGTATAGAACCCTATATCAGACTCTGATGTAATTCTCACCGTTTGACAAATGAGGTTAGGATTTAAAAAAGAGTCTTCTAGTAAGTGTTACCAAATGACACTGTAATTACTGGTAAAACTTAAGTATAAAAGATATACAGCTTTACAGTATCATCAGGAGTGGCTGATAGGTTATTTTTTCCCTAAACTGAAGAGGGCATCAGGCAACACATGCATAATTATACTGCAAAATAATTACAAATGTATAATCATGTGTATGTACCATTAAAGTAACAAATAAATTCCATGTTGCCGTTTTTCTGTTCAGTAATAGATTGCAGATGATATCAAAATGTGGTAAGAATAAAGTCATTCATAGTCAGCAACCAAGTGTGTCACTGATGTTATGATTGAATTTTACAAATGTGTCTGAAAAAACATACAAATAACATGCAATCAAACCTATTAGGTAGAAGTTGTTATCTTGATCTAACACTTAATTCTCAGAACTAATTTACAGGGAAATGTGTAGCAGCTAGGGGGGAGAATTAACAATCAGATCTTGGGAATTTAAGGGATAAGACACGTGTGCAACTAACCATGTTAATGTTAAATTATACTCACTTAGCATATTAACAACTATAAGGTAATTCATGGCATCCTCAGAGGCCTTCACAAAGCTAATGATCAATGTAATCTGTTTAAACAAAGACATTTCTCTCATCAGTTGACAAGTAACGAGGTTTAAAACCAATTGTATCTCTAATGTAGAGCAAAAGTTACGATGCAACTCATGGAGTGTGTAGGAGTATCATGCTCCACCCTGAACAGGATGCCAGTCTATCACAAGGTTCCAACCCCCCCTAAGAATCTTGTCACAATTCCTTGACATGTCACTGATTACCATTAATACTCCTACGTGGAGAGAGGCATTGTGTAGGTTAATCCTTTACTCCCTAAGATCAGTATGCATATTCTCCATACTACTCCATAGACATTTCCTAGGGTTCTGATGAGGAGAATTTGTTCAACAATCAAGAGATTCTTTAGTTGGTGATAATCTCCTTTATTCTCATGACCTAAATGTTTGATTTAGGAGTGTTCTTGTGAGGAGAAATTAGATGTTGCTCACTCTTAAGGGTTAAAGGGTTAACTTCATTGCCCAAGAACACAACAAAATGTTCCACTTGTCTTCTTAAGGCTCAGTGAACATTTTTAAAGAATTTTAGAAACTTAAACCACTATGGTGCAATCAAAATCATAGTATACATACCACAACAATTATTCCTGTGGACATAGCAAGAGCCCTTAACATTAACTTCTGCAAGTAGAGAGAAATTAAACATTTATTGGCTTTGCCACATCAAGAGTAAAAAGATGACAGATGAAAAATTGTATTTTTTGCTTACGACTGTGATATCATGCATAGTGAGTCACAATCATGCATAATATCCCCACTGCAGAGCTTGTATTTAAGACAAGATCTTACAAGAACTGAATAAGCAACTCTGCTTACATGTCACCCTCAAAAAAGGAGTTAACTGGATACAACCCCTACTGCCAAGATCCATGGCTGGTCTCTAGGGGGCTGATAAGAATAGACACATCCAACCTTAATTATTATGCATTAATATGTTTCATTTTCATTATTTTTCTGAGCATGAAGTCCAGTTTTGTACACTCCACTGAAAAGAATGCCACTATGAGACAGAGCCTGGACACTCCTTACAGTGTACAGTAAAGGGAGAGTGGAGGAGAGAGAGGGAAGGGGGTAGGGGGTGGGAAATGTGACCGAAAATCGAAAATTCTTGCATACAGGAAGTAAATTACGAGCCAGCTGGACTTATACATGTTTCTTCGTGCTAATACAACTAAAATCAAAATTTCATAGATTTGAGTAAAGTGCATCCGTTGGGAAGTCAAAGCAAAAAATGAATAAGAGCAAGACTAAAACACAAAACGAGCATGGAGAAAAAAAAATCTTAGAGGGACTGCTTTGCTCAGCATCTTCTCTCATTGCAGGAAACGTCTTGCACGATGTACTAGGAGCTTTTAAACTGAAAGATCCCACACTCGTATAAGTTCAAAATCCAAACATAATCTTATAACACAATATAGTAGACCAATTAATTTCAGCATTCGTACCGTTAAAGGAGAAACCTCGTAGTACAAAGGCGCTGGTTTGTCGGGATCCATCTTGAGTAATATCTGCGTGTTTGATCTGTCATCCGGAGGCGAGAATTGTCCGGAGATGTTCGGAACTTCTCGGGAAAGTTCGTTAAAATTTCGTAATAAACATGGAGGAAGATAGCGGTAGACAGAGGCTTCTCGATGGAGGACAGCCTTTTCCTTCTTCGTTACCCCAGTCTCCTCCGAACGAATACGACAATGCGCTTTATCACGAACAGGGAAAAAGTCCGAGAGAGGTAGGCCTTCATGCGTTGCCGTGTGAGAGTTAAAACATCGTCCCTGATGAAGTTTTGATGATTCTACATTTGTGAAATAATGTCCGATGTGCATTCCCTCATCTTCACACATTTTAACTTGCATCTGATTTACAACGGAACGTATCACCATAAAATGTAGTGGCAACTAGATTTTGTTTTGTTTTAAGTAGCCTTGCAGAATCCATATTAAGACGACTCATTTTCCTCAAACGAATAAACTCGTCTTTTACCGGGACTTGTATATTTACTGCATAAATGCATCATTTTGCATGCTTAAGTTTCAAGCGACTTTCACACGATAGAGAAAGAACAGTGTTCATTTTCTAAATTGCCTACTCACTAAGTTAAGCTGTTGCTTTTATGAAAAAGTGGCCGATACAAGCCTTTTACAGGCAGCAACAAGACTTCCGGCCTCACAGTATTTCTCAAGGATATATAATTAATCATTCAACTCATTGTGATTAAATTAATATGTTCATACAACTCATTGTGAGTAAATTACTCTGTTCATGTTCTGACTTTTTGTGTATTTGCTTTTTTTGTAGACGCTTATCATGTACTTCTTCATGCTGTTTGTGATCATTATGGTCATGGTATGTTGTTGTTGTCTTTGTGACTGTCCGTGGTGCTAGAAATTTCTCATTACATTAGCTCCCATGGGTGACTAAAAAAGAATTTTGCTATAAAATATAAAAACAATATCAAGCAGACAAGTGATGAGAATAAAGAGAAAGGTTAGTTGGGGGATAGTTGTTGATGCAATACAAATTCTCCCAACAAAACTCATAAGAATTGTATAGCAGACAGTAAGGAGAAAATACTAATTTAAGATCTTGGCCATAAAAATATATTGGCATTGGTATTTTGCATGAAAAAAAAAGCACCAAAAAAGTGTAAAATTTCACCCCATTTATAAAGGCTAGGCCTTGTGTAAGTGTTACCTTTATCCATTAGGTCAAGTTTAAAAGAAATGCTTGGACTTAAATCTCAAAAAAGAGTTACATGTAATTTGGTGCTTGACTTACCAGTAATGAAAATTATGAAACCATTTCGCTAGCAAATTTTCCTCAGACTCACAACTACAGCTTTGTGCACTATATGTGCTGTCACTAGAAATGCACATGTGATATTTTTACTTCTACATTGCATATCATTATTAATTAACTCTTTCTCTCCAAGAAGTGACCAACTTGTAACTTCCCCCTATAGTATCCATGTAGCACATTATCCTGCAAACAGGTATTGAGAAAACTCAAACTCATCAGGTAGAAGTTGTTATCTTGATCAAACACTAAATTCTCATAACTAGGTTACACGTAAATGTGTAGGAGCTAGAGAGGAGAATTAACAATCAGATCTTGGATGTTTAAGGGTTAACAGATTTTTATGCATTCATTTGGTTTGATAGATTACCATTATACTGTCTTTGTATCGTGGTGCAGCAGTGGATTCTACATACATATTGTTAGGAGTCAGCATCATTTGTAAGTACATGCCTTGGAGCAAACACAATATTATTGAGGTATCTAATAACTGTTTGGCCCTTAAGAGCTACTAGCATTTAATTTCTCCTCACAATTCCAACCTTGAATCACACATTAAGGACTCACAAGAATGAAAGGAATGATCACATACTAACTAAAGTAGCTCTTGATTGTTTCAGAAATTCTCCTTGTCAGCACCTTAGGAAATGTATAGAGAACAGTATGGAGAATAAGCATATTGATTTTAGGGCCTTTGTGCGTAGGAACCAGTGATTTGCGTGGCACCAATTTTTTTCTTTGGGCTGGGTTTAAGCAACTGTGCTGTTTTTTTTACAAATAAAAGCTTTATCATGAACATGATGGTATATTGCTTTTCTCTCAAGGAACATTTCAGTTTACAAGAGTTTCCAGAGCAGGGACGATTGTAGTTCTTGATATCATGAATGCTCTTATTTTTCCAGGAGCAATTTTTAAGCATCAGGGTCTTTTTGATTATTAATTTTTTTTCTGATGCTATTATTGGAGTCTTAATTCATTATTGATTTCTTAATGTTCTTCTATTTTGTAGCTATTGGTATGGTGGAGTTAGTGTTGGTAAGGTGGTTTTTCACATTTGAAATAATTGTTTTTTTCTCTGTTTCTTACAAAAAAGTTAATGTACCATAAAACACACAAATAAGCTGCACCTTTTTTTCAAAAATTGTCACTAGAAATTGAGGGTGTGGCTTATCTGTGGGAACATTTCCATTTTCACACCCGATCTAATGCCTGGTTACTAAGTTTAGAATGTTCTGCTCACATTCTTGTTGTAAATTATGCAAAAATCTATGGAAAAACTGTGTTCATTTCTTTCGAAAAACTTTTCCAAAATTTGAGCTGCTAAATTCGGGGTGTGGCTTATCTGCAGGTTTTTTATGGTAAAAGTATTTAAATCTAGCTGTTAGCCAAATTAACTGATTTTCCTAAATGTTTTCTTAGTAATTTTGTTTTTTAAGAATTAGATTGACAGGATACCTTAAGATTTTTAGTTGTCAAATGAGTTTTGTCAGACTGATCTTGCATCTTTTTACTGACATTGGGTCCAAGTTTAATGTTGGTTTCATAATGGTTTTGTCCAGTTATGTGTTCTTTTATCGTTCATTAAATCAATTTATACATCAGTGCATTAGGGAACTGTGCTTATACTTGGTATTTTACAAACACATGCAGTTATTTTAATTCTCTTTGAAATAAATCACAGACTTGTAATTGTATGCCCCAAAGTAATAGATGTAATTTGATGATGCTTTTCAAAAATTAAAAGATTACATTACTGTGTAACTCTGTAAAGAGACTTAACTGCCAAAAAGAATTGTGTTAAAGAAAAATATAAAGAAAAACTTAAAGTTAGTACTTCATACTGTCAAATTTTGTCACAAATGATTGTTTGTTCCACTCAACACAACAACCAACATTCCAGAAATATTTCTGAGTCTATGGTCCTCTGAGTTTTGCATTATTGCATGTAAAACTATATGTGGAATATTGATGAGTATATATGATTATTCATGTTATCACAGGTTCACTGGACAAGATCAGGGGAACTTCCTGCAGAGAAATTGTGGTTCTTGTACTTCGTGGGAATCTGTATCTCTTTGGAGTCCATTTTCACAGATGTGCTGTTATATCACAGACCTGAACCATCAACTTAGAGAAATCACTAGTCTTTATATAATTTAGTTCTAGTTTATTTAAATTTACATCAGCGGAGATCTAGGTTTGTTTTTTAATGTCCAATCAATGTATCTAATGAATTGTGTTATAAATGTTTGGTTTGCACATGTCACCCTTCTCATTTTTAAAGAAAAAAAAAGGCAAAGGTGAGTTTGTGCTGAAATACAAAGTGAGTGTGATTAAGTCCTATCGATTGTGAATTACTGCAAGATAATCTGGAAATTACTCAAAATACTAATATCACCCTTTTGAGATTTTACAGAGTCAAACCTTGTTTGTTATTGTTGTTTTGTATTGAATAATTTTTTTGTATTGAAGTTACTGTATTATGAGTCAGAGACAATATTATTTAATCAATGGTAAAATTTAGGAACGAAATGTGGCTATGGTTTCTGCGCCTTTTCACTTCCCTTTCATTCTTTACCAGCACCTTGTCCTCTTCTGTGTATTCTGTGTCATTCTGTGAGGGTGAGAAGTTGCAAACACTAACGCGTGTGCTTGTTACAATAAATTGTTTCGTGACTTGCGTGACAATCTTGAAGTTTCGTGAGTATGGCCTACGTCGCACAACAGCCCAAACCAAAAATTAAACAGGCAAAAAATTTTCGGAAACCGAAACGGGAAGTTCTGAAAATGTGACAATTTTGGGTCGCACTACCGAAATACATCAATAGGTTAAAATAAACACAGTTGATCAGATTTTATTTCTGGTGCGTGGTGTGCGTATTGTGATAAACATGAACCTAAATCAGGCCTTTTGCTTTGCTTTTCCCATTCTACTCCTGTTTGCCTTTTTCATTCTGTATCGGCAGCTTTTCAAGTCCATGTAAGATGCAGTAAATAGTTGCATGTTGGAATGCTACTATAATTAGGTTAGCCGAAAAGTTAGAGAATCTCATGCTGTTAAGCATACAAGTTAATTTGTGTAACTAGATGCATGACTGGTTTTTTTTGACAAGCTAAGTATTGTGACGGAGTTGAGTTCACTCAAGTGTGACTGAGGTTGAGTTAAACGGCGGTAGTGGTTATTCGAAGTTTGGCAGAGGCCGTGTATCAGTGTTTACTGTGACGAGTTGTTTCAGAGTTTTATCAGCTGTGAAGACTACATTCATCAGGAATAAATCATCTTTGTTGCTGTTCCGACATCCCTGCGTTCTGTTAAGCTACAGACAATCATTCCCACTTAACGATCACTCGTAACTGCGCTCTAACCCTTTAACTCCCGTGAGTGACCAAGACAGAATTTCTCTTTACAACATCAATACAATATCAACCAGATAAGTGATGAGAATAAAGAAAAATATCAATATGGGGAAAATTAGTTGATCCAATATTAAATTCCCTGAACTAAAATCATAAGAATTGTATGGTTGACAGTAAGGAGAATGATAAATTTGGTCAGGAAGTTACAGGGTTGACTCCCGAATTTAGAACCCGCTCTTACCATGGAGCGCGAGAGTAACTATGTGATCTTTAGCTAGGAGTAAGAAAACTATGCTTAATATCCATTGCTCAATGCTACTGTCTGTTCAACGCCTGACCCAAGTTTACAGCTTCGAAATCTGCCTTGAACATGGATGCAGTTGGCCATTTGACATTGATTTCGTCGGCCAGTGTTGCTCAACTTGTAAGCGAAGGAATCGAATGTATTAGGCAAATTTCGGCTTGTCACAGTTCTGGGAATTCTTTTTTTTTAAGGTGAAAGTCTCCTGTTCTACACTAGGTACAAAAATTTGCATTCTTGTAAATAATTTATCATATATTTTCTTTCTTTAGTTTTTTACGAGACAGTTTCAAAGGTGACCTCAACAGTGTCCAATTTGTTGTAAATCTGGTATACAAATCGAGCACCTTGAATAAAGCGCTTATTCCACGAATTTTAAAGCTAATAATTTTTTTTAATATCTCAGAATACCCTGTTGACAACAATGATTACAATGAAATTTCATTAACGAGTTACGATTTTTTTCCAAAATAAAACTTACGCCTAACAAACTTTTCACAAACATTCGTAATTTTGATAGTAACTAAAGATAACAGCTGCTGGACGTGTGTTGTGATGAGCGGACTATCATAGTCACTAAGCGAGAGTTTAGTCTCACTTCATTTTCATCTTGCAAACACGCGATTTAAATTTGCTCTTTTGAAATCACTTTTCGAGATTATGCAGACACATTTACGATTACGAGGTCTGTTTTGGTGCCGTCCATGCCTTAATCGAACGATGACATCAGTCCAAGTCAAATTGTAA